CACACCTGGTGTGTTGTCATGTTCGCCGTGCATGCCTGCATTGTCATGTTCGCTGTGTGCAACTCCACAAAAGGAAGCATGACTGTGCCAGACTGTTTCATCGGATTTTCACCGACTCATCAGGAGGTTGAACCCCGACAGTCTGCCCAAGATGCATTTGCGTGCGTGTATGTCATGTCATGTCCGGTATACACAACTCCAGTCACAAGGTTGCATCTGAGTGTGTCCATGCGTGTGTGGATACGCGTGTGTGCGGGTGCCTGAGTGTGTGTGTGCGTGCATGCGAGTGTGCGTTGTTGACTACCCTAAAGAGCACCGCTGCGCCACCAAGGGCTGAGCAGGAGAAAGGGGAAACGGTTTTGCTTCAGGCCTAGTGGCTGGCGGAGCAGATGATACGCTGAGGGCCACCCTGCAATGGGCCAATGCCCAAAGGCACCGGGCATAAGGCCCTGCAATTTTTTTTTCTCACTACCTGCTTTTTTAAACTACCTACAGGCCTGTACAGGCCCTCAGGCCCTCTTCCCGACTGGTGCGTTGATCCGGATCGACGCCCGGCCCAACGGTCAGATTGTTGCGCCATCTTAAGACTTTAAGATCGCGTGACGATCCTGGCCACCCACCCTGTCGGACGGCCTGGATCATCGCGTGATCTTAAAGTCTGAAAGTCTTAAGATTGCGCGACAATCCGAACCGTCGGGCCAGGAGGACCACGGACGGCCAAGATTGCTGATTTCTCACTTCAGGGATTTCTGACAGTGTACGGATGCATCCCCTCCGCCATTAAACATCCAAGCTGGCAGCTTCGGTCTTCTGCATTTGGAAGATTGTTCTTTCATGTAGATGCGAGACACCTAACGACTGGGGGCGGCAACGTTCCCTACCTCCTTTTGCTGATTGCTTACTCTCACCAACACACACCACCTGCCACCAAATTCAGAGAATTTCAGACCATTCATTTGCTCCACGAATGCAGGGATACGAGGATCCAAAAACGAAATAAAATAAAGTAACACCTACCTCCAAGAAATGAGATGCTTGTCCGTGAAGAATGCTGCAGAGAGGATGGCTGAACATAAGATCTACAACCTTCCTTACTGCTCCTGTGAGAACAATCTTCTGATCAATCTCTTGCGAACAGTACATTACTAAACGACTGAGCAATTCAATCACTACAATTCGATGCCGTCCTGCTGTAGGCATGACCTCCTTATTCTGCATCAGCCTGGGAGGTGGGGACATATCCAGTACGGACACAAACTTTTCAATGTTTGCCGTTGTCAGAGCCAAACCCTGTAATCAACCAAATAACCACAGAGCAAACAAACAAGGGACAAAGCACAAAGCAGCAGGAAAATTGGCCCCCTTGTCAGCAAGAACCGTCTGGGCATTGACATTCCCCATTCTACAGTTTGTTCACACGACTTCTTCGCTGAGAAGAATGAACAACCACTATTCCACATCATTTTGATTCTCTGGGCACATTCAGTTTGGTATTTCTGCCATCGCATTCAACAGTAGCATCGGCCTCTGGTAGCGCGACTCGTCTGGACAATCTCTTCACTTAACCCAGATGAAAGAGTTCAGAAAGTCGTGGTAAATTGCACGATTATATACAAGGTAAGTGTGACACCATAATAATTATAAAAAAAAAAGAAGTGTGACACCATAATCTTGCTCTAAAGTTCTAAACTTCTAAAGATATGCCAGTAGAGTCACCGAGCTGGGCATGTCAAAGTGGGCAGCAGGGCCGACGCCCACAAGTGGTCAATGCAGGTATGAAATTTTCCGTAGTAAATCTTGTAGTAGTAAGAAGAGGACTTTCACTATTCTTAAGAACTTACTAGAATCTTGTCAACACCAGAGATAAGGATCCTCAACGATCTTGAAAACGTGAAACCCATCCTCGTGGGTGTTCAGGTATTCAAGGCGTTCAGACCGTTCAGGATGTCCACCACTTCGGGACCCTTCAGAATCTTCAGATCCCACTCCTCCATAAGTGGTGAAGACTCCGAAAGGTCCGAACCCCTTCCCAGGATCTCGAAAAGGGGAAGCACTTTGGACCTTTCAGGAATTTCACCACCTCAGCAACCTTAAGATCACACACACACACACACACACACACACACACACACACACACAGCGGTGTTGTGCACGAAGAGGTGGAGAGTTCTTCGGCCGAGTCTGAGCAGAAGTCTACACCTCTTCCTGCACAACACCACTGAGAGAGAGAAAGAGGGTGCAGTTCTCCATGCCTCGCCAACCTACCTATTTTGTTTCCGGGCTGAGTGAGAACGGAACTCACCACCTCTTCACTTAAAACACCGCTGGGCCAAGCTAGAACGGAACTCTCCATCTCTTCCAGCACAACACCACTGGGAGAGAGAGATGGTCCTCTTCTTCACACCACCCCAGCCTACCTATTTCATTTCCGGGCCAAGTGTGAATCGAACCCTCCACCTCTTGACGGACAAAACCACTGGGCCAAGTGTGAACAGAACTGTCCCTAAACCGCTGTGTGTGTGTGTGTGTGTGTGAGAGAGAGAGAGAGAGAGAGAGAGAGAGAGAGAGAGAGAGAGAGAGAGAGAGAGATCCTCTTCTTCACACCACCCCAGCCTACCTATTTCATTTCCGGGCCAAGTGTGAATGGAACTCTCCACCTCTTGACGGACAAAACCACTGG